AAATTCCTTTGCTCTATCTTCAGAGATTTCCAATTAATTTGTTGGGAAATGGGGTCAGGTCAGCATTTTACAATCCCCCCCCCCCAGTCTTTCTCATTAGGTGGAGAATCATCAGGTTATGGGCAGCAAAGATTACAGAAAGCGAGCATTTATAATATTTCAGCACCAACAACACTTAATGAGGGCTTCTGGCTGAAGGTAATGAGATGAAGGAAATTAGTGGGATTTTTTTCTGTTCAGAAGGCTGATCAGTGTGTAGTTTCTTGGCAATTAAAAAATATTATAATAGTTATACAACCTCCTTGTAATGATTAAATGACACATGAATGAAAATCTCACTTTACTCTTACCCTATTCCGTTCTCCCTAACTCCCTCAGAGTAAACACTGATGTCAGTTTGGAGTATGCATTTCCAATTTTTTATCTATTCACTTGCACTTATAGGTATTTAGGAAAATATATAATTTTAATATATAGGTTGGTTTTGGATACATACTTACATGTTATAAATTAGAAATATAAAAATGCATGGGAATAATAAACATAAAGTTCAAGATAAGGCTATGAGGGGAGAAGAGAGAAATAAGAGGTGATCATAAGATAGCTTCCTATGTTGAGAAATAAGATGGATTTTGGGAATAGTCATGTCAGTAACTACGGGGCTATGTTTTGATAAATGTGTTAGGGCTATTTTGTCATTGTCTGAACACCATAGTGCACTACACAAACCAAACAGTATACCCTACTGTACCCCTAGACTATATAGTATACAAACCTGTCTACGCTACAAACCTGTACAATATGTTCCTGTACTTCAAATGGTAGGCAACTGTAACACAATGGTAAGTATTTGTATATCTAAACATAGAAAAAGTACAGTAAAATATGATACGAAAGATTTTAAAATGGCACACCTAAATAGGGTACTTCACCATGAATGGAGCTTGCAGGACTGGTAGTTTCTCTGGGTGAGTCAGTGAGTGAGTGATGAGTGAATGTGAAAGACGTTAGGATAGTACTATACCCTACTAGCCTATCTAATCAAAGAGAAACATGTAAATTGACCATACCTCCACCAATCAGGAGTGAGTATGCAAATTAACCCGACCAAGATGGCAGTTATTTTGCATATACCCCACAGAGGGAAGACTGAAGACACCATAGAAGGAAGCCAAGTGCTGTAAAAGGGAGCCAAGTGCTGCAGAGAAGCAAGAGGGGCGATGGAGATGGAAGGGAAGCAGGCTGGAATGCAGAGATGGCCACAGGAAGCCCTATTCTTGCAGGAATCTTCCTGCAATGGGCCTCTAGTAGGCTTTATAAGCATTGTACACGTAAGCTACACTAACCATATTTGAAAGTTTTACTTTTTAAAAAAATATATATTTTATTGATTTATTCACAGAATGGAAGAGAGAGGGATAGAGAGTCAGAAACATCGACGAGAGAGAATCATCGATCAGCTGCCTCTTGCACACCCCCTACTGGGAATGTGCCCGCAACCAAGGCACATGCCCTTGACCAGAACCGAATCCGGGACCCTTCAGTCCGCAGGCCGACGCTCTATCCACTGAGCCAAACCGGTCCTGGCTAAAAGTTTTACTTTTTAATGATATTAATACATTAGTCGTAGCTTACTATAACTTTTTCCCTTTATTTTTATTGTCAACACTATTGCAGATGTCCTCCTCCCCTCTCCCACCCAGCCCCCAACCCCCTTCCCCCTGGCCAGACACTGTTGTCTGTGTCCATGGATTATGCACATATGTTCTTTGGCTAATCCCTTCACCTTCTTTCATCCAGGTCCCCGCCCCCTCCCCTCTGACAGCTGTCAGACTGTTCCATGTATTCATGCCTCTGTTTCTATTTTGTCTGTCAGTTTATTTTGTCTCTTAGATTCCACATATAAGTGAGTTCATATGGTATTTGATGAACATCTGGATTGTTTTCACTTTTGGCTATTTGAATAATTCTGACGTGAACATTCCTGTACAGGATTTTGTGAATAGCTGTGCATTTAAGGTACCAACACTATATAGCTGCATCATTCTGCAATCTGGCTGTCACACTCATGGTAATTCTACCTATGGCATAAACGATATAACCTATCTTTTATTTTTTTAATTTTTTTATTTCTTTTTATTTATTATAACCTATCTTTTAATGTCTTAATGACTATTTACCTGTTGAAACATTTTGTATTATAAATTACTGTCTCTTTTTGTTCCTTTGCATGAATTTTTATGGTGTTATGCTGGTTCTTTTAAAATTCTGTAGTAGGTAAATGATATTCAGGAATTTTACTTCAGGATAGTCAAACGGAAGGGATGTTGGATTTGATAAGATTGGGCAACACTGGCCCTCCTCCTTCTCCCAATCAGATTTGGGAGTTCCTTCCCTTGGTACCATTGTACCCTGTGTATATCATCATTAAAGTAGTTATGTGATTGTATGATCCTTGTTAACAGATCAGTTCTTTGTAGACTATGAGCACTTGTGGGCAAGAATGGTTCTTTATTTTTATATTTCCAAGATCTAGATGGTTTCTGGTACTTAGTAAATATTTGCTGCATGATGATAATGATGAAAAAACGAGACGACTGCCCAAAGATAGCAAGGCAGGAAAAATGCTAGGAAGAAAGAAGGAATGAGCATTGTATACTGACATCTGAATCTAGGTTCTTCTCACTCACTTCTGATCTGATTGGCCAAATCAGCCTGCCTTGATCTGGGCTCTGAAACAATGGGGCAAACTCTCTGAAACCACCACCCTTTCTTATCACCTTCCCCAGCTCTGGGTGGCCAGGACTCCACTGCCCCTAGCTCTCAGCCAAAGCAGTGCATGATGGTCAGGGAGGAGGAGAGTGGATGGAGGTGAGAGACGGCATGGGGGGATAAATGGTGATGGAAAAAAAAAATAAAATGAAATGAAGAAAAATAAATAAACAAAGAAATATGGATAGCTACATTCACAGGATTCTGAAACTTAAAAATGTGGCGGGTGGTGAACATTCTCCTCTAGCTATTTGTCTAGTGCCCGCTAGTTCCCAGCTGCCTTTCAGAATGTCAGCACCTGGATCTCAGGGCTAGAACAGGCATCAGAGAGATGCACACCACTGTTTGTTGAGCTTGTTGGCACCATATCTAAAGTTAAGCTCAGGTTCTCCACATTGTGTTGGTTCATCCAACTCTAGCTCCAAAGTCACCTTCTCCAGGTGCCTTTCCCACACTGCCACCTGCCTGGGCCTCCACTGTGAAGAGTGGCCCGCTCCTATCCAGTTGACTAGAGTCGTCTTTTATCTACCTGTGGCACTATCACATTCTACCTTCTAGTGTTGGTATTTGAAGACATGACTCTTCACCATTGACTTGTAACTTTTAAAAAGAGAAACTGGGTTATACATCTTCATATGCTCATAGCAACTAGAACACTACCCAAGTCAACAAATGACAGGAAAAATAGGGTTTATCATATGCTTTGTGTAAATGCGATACTATACATTAATATGTTCTATATATATGTATTTTACTAAAAATTTGTCTTACTGAGCCTAAATTCACATAACATAAAATTAACCATTTTAAAGCAAGAAATTCAGTGGTATTTAGTATATTCACAGCGTTGTGCAAACACGTGCAGCACCCCAAAAGGAAATCCCCTGCCCATTAAGCTGTCCCCCTACTTTCCTCTTGCCCAGCCCCTTGCCTGCACTAAGGAGCTTCCTGACTCCATGGGTTTACCTCCCATGGGTACTTTATATGGATGGAGTCATACAATTTGTGACCTTTTTGGGGCTGGCATCTTTCATTTAACTTGTTTCCAAGATTCATCAGCGATGTAGCATGTACCCATATTTCATTCCCTGTTACGGCTGAATAATTATATATTTTGTTTGCAATTTAGTGTGGGTACAACACATTGGCATGATTTTACCACTAGATGGCATTACTTTCCTAGAAATTTCCTGGTCATTGCTCATAGTGAAATGAACTACAGTGTGCAATTCTGTCAGCCGGAGGACTCGTTTCCACTGTGAAACCAAGCGATGCCTAACAAGTGAGCCATGCTGCGAGCTTTGCCAAACCGTCTACAATAGGTCGTAGACCTCACCATTCTTATAGGCAACAGTTGCTCCTGAGACAGTAGATAATACTTTTCAGACTGTTTCAAAACAACAGTCCCTTTCATATCAGAACAGTTATCTTAACATGAATTTTTAAAGTAATTTGTCAATTAATAATACTATCCCTGTCAAAGCCAAAATAATGAAACAGTACAGGGGATTTTGTAATGTCGTTGTGAAGTCCACATGAAATGGTGTAGTTTAGAGGCTGGGCTCCATCGATTAATTAAAGGGCCAGGGGCAAACTCCACTGGGCTTGCTTACTCCTCTAGAAAGGGATGAAAGTACATAACGCCTTTCTTCTGGGGCTTTATGAGCACAAAATGAAATGTGTTTGTGGAAATGCCTTTTAACCTATGCTCATTGGGACCAATTTTGAGGATTTAAAAATTCACACTTATAGTACCATACCTTTGTCTCGAAAACAGTAACTCATACGTATGTGTATCATGCATTAAAATGTTATTATCTTTGAAGTGGTCAGTATAATTATGCTTAGAGCTTATCAACATTTTAAAATATATATATTTTATTGATTTTTTAAAATAGAAGTCTATTCTTTTATTTTAATATTTCCAAGGAACCAAGCTCATCCTGGGCAGCCTGGACAGTGGCTTGTGAGAGGGACTTGAAAGGGAAGCATTTAGTCCCTGTCACCCAGCATCCAGCACTAAACTCTTTACAGGGTTAGGTCTGGAGTCCTTGATGCTGCTCTTGGCCAGTCTGACTGTGATTTTGGCCCAGAAGCCGCCCAGAAATAGCAGGGGTTGAGCCATCCTTAACTCATACCCAGGTGAAGCAACTTCTGCAGGAAGGCTGGTCCTCCCCAGTAACCCTTTAGCATCATATTCCAGTACAGGAAGGGCATCATGTCGGCCTTCATGAAGTACATGGAAACTCTCTGCTCTGGTCAAAGGGGAAGGTCTCCAGTGGCTGCAAGTTGTAGTTAAACTCCGCAAGAATCACACGATTGTAGCTCGTCACCAGTGGACATGACGTGTAGCCATCATACTCCTTCGTTGGTTTTTCATTCTTCATGACCAGAGAAATTGTTCCGTCAAGGATTCCTGACTGGGCAGCTACGGCAGCAGCAGTCTTCGAAGTAGGAAGGTTGGTGCAGTCCCCGATCCCAAACACATTTGGGTACTTCTTGTGCTGCAAGGTTTCTTTATCCACATTCACCCAGCCAGCAGCATCAATCAAAGGGCTCTTCTTGAGGATGTCAGGTGCGCTCATTGGGGGTGTGACATGAAGCATTTCGTAGGGAATCACTTGGGTCTCTCCAGGGTTGTCCACGTTCTCAAACACAGCCTCTTGTCTATCGGCTCGGACTTCAGTGAGATTTTGCTTGTAGTTCACAGTGAGGTTCCGTTCCTGGATGATCTCCATCAGCGCATCTGCATACTTCTTAACCCCAAAAATCGATCCGGGAGAAGTGTTGATTGGCTTTGGATCGCTTCCCTGTCTTCCTGAAATAGTCTTCTGAAAGGTACATGATCTTCTGCGGGGTCCCGGAAGGTGAAGATGGCATTGCCCTCCTTGAAGTCCTGCAGAGCCTTCCATGTCTTCTCCACCGTGCTCAGTGAGTAGTTAGACCCTATTTTGGGATGGGAAAAACCTTCAGGAAGGCCTTTAATCCTCCCATAGTCCAGCTGGATTCCGAGAGCAACAATGAGATATTTGCAGGAGATCTCCTTGCCGTTGTCTGTGCGGATGCATTCTTGGGTGGGTTCAGCTCAGCCACTCCGTCTTTGATCCACTCCACACCGGATGGAATCACACTCGCTGTGGGACGGCCAGATGAGGACAGCTGTTTGGCACCAGCACCCACCAGGTCCAGATTGGCTGGTAGAAATGTCTCTCGCTGGGCTCAATGATGGCACCATTCTCTGCACCCACTTTCTTCTTCATGCGGGAGGCCGGGAGGCCATGGTGATCCCACCGTTGCCCCCTCCCAGCACCAACACCTCATGGAAGTTCTTGGCCGCAAGACTGGTCCCTGTGTGCAGCTGAAGTGAGCTGGCCTGCTGAGCGCCCAGTCTGAGGAAGCAGGTCAAGAGCCGGGCGTGGGGGCTGGACACCAGGGCCACCAGCGGGGTCATCTTCATCGGTCGGTGTTGGCGCAGCAATAGCGGCGGCTCCCCGCCCGGGCGGGCTCGTGGCCTTGGCCGGGGCCCCGCCCGACCTCGGGGCGGAGGCTGAAGGTGGGGAGAACCAGGCTCCCCCCAGGAAAGGTCCCGGCCGCTGCCCTGCCAGGCGCTGCAGCCCCGGCACCGAGGCCAAGGGCGGAAGGCAAGGGCGGAGGGCACGGGCTTTGTGAGCGCACAGAGGGCAGAGCCCAGGCTCTGGGGCCCGGGCCACCCTCCAGGCTCTATTTTATTGATTTTTTTACAGAGAGGAAGAGAGAGGGATAGAGAGTTAGAAACATCGATGAGAGAGAATCATCAATCAGCTGCCTCCTGCACACCCCCAACTGGGGGGTGTGCCCACAACCAAGGTACATGCCCTTGACCGGAATCGAACCTGGGGACTTTTAGTCTGCAGGCCGACGCTCCATCCACTGAGCCAAACTGGTTTTGGCAGAATTTTAACAATTTAAAAAGCAATTCTATTTTAAGCATTTCTCTGAGACTATTATTGAAGGTTTGAGAAGATTCTGTGGAGAAATTAGAGCATTTTTAAGTAAGTGGCCTCTGTACCTAAAATTCCTAGTTTGTTTCATTTGTTTACATGAAGTAACTTTGACTTGACAAAGTAAATATTAGTATGAAAAGCGTTTGTCCTGTCTGCTGATAATAGTTCAGAGCTTCTTTGTACCTTTCGTACCCAGCACAGTTTGATATATAATGAGCTTTAGGTATATATAACGATAAACAAATGCATGAGTTCCATTTTGTATATTCTTCCCTTATCTGACTAGGAGTTTCTTTAAGATAACACCAGCTACAGGGTTTCCTGAATTCTCACTCTCTAATAATGCATGGCCCTCAAAAAGAAAATATCAGAAGTATATGTTGGTGTATAAGTTAATAACATGGATAGATAAATATGTTACTACTAAGTACACAGAAAGTATAGTGTTAGGTCACTTTAAGTTATGTTTTTAAATTATTAACAGCCTATTTTACAAGTTGACCCTGGATATAGTGATGGGGAAATCCGTGAGAACTTTAAGATGGGTTCACACATTCCTTATATTTAAGAAACTTCTAGTATCTTGAGCTGCTTACACCCCCAGCCCTTAGTTAGTAAGCAATATGGGAGTTAAAAATCTTAGTCTGACCATTTTCTTGCTGTGTGATCTTGTGAAAATCATTTATCTACACTTTACCTGCCCATACTGTTTGTGAAGGTTAAATGAGATAATGTATGAGAAGTGCGTAGCATACTTACTGCCTGAGTATATAGGGTTCTCAATAAATTAGTCTATGTTAGTATGCCAATTATCTTGCGAGGCAGAGAATAAAGCTGAATCATTCTCCAAGTACCATGCCCTTGTCTCCAAAACAGTTACTGCAACTTAACATTCAATATGTATTTGAATGATTATATCATTGAAGAGCCTTTCACGAGATGGCAGGAGCTGGGTGTGTTTTGCTCAGTGACGCCCCCTGGCTTCTATCAAGGTGCCTGGAGCATGTATGGATTAACCCCCAGGAGCTGCCAGCTAAGAAAGGTGATGTAAGTCCCAACACTAAACACAAGGGGGTACTGTTCTGTCACCTATCCCCACGCTGGCTCCATTCAGAAACCCGATTTTCAGAAAAGTGCAATATTTAAGCCTAATCTCAATCAAAGAAGTAAACTCTTTATTCCTTTGAGTCTCAGGCTTACTGTTTTTTGTTTCATTACTGTCCAGAATATATACCTAGCCTTCAATAGAAGTAAAAATACACTATAAAAGCTGTATTTGTACTCAGATCTTGTTAAGCTACAAAATATTTAATCCAAAACATTTTAAGTTGGCTATCTCTCTCTATTGGGCAACATAAAACATAATGATACCGCAATTAAGGTGATTCTGTGCCCTCTTAAACACTCATTTGCTCTGTTAATCTCCTTGGACCCTTTCCAAAGGTAATTGCTAACCCTGAATACTTCATTCCACAAATACTTACTGCGTGCCTTGTAGGTGTTGGGGATTTTTATAGTTGCTGGGAATTTCACTGAAGAACAAGGGTTGCGTCTTTGTGTTTAGTCTGGTGATATTTGCCAGGGGAGGAGGGAGTACCTGCTTGTGGGGCTCAGCACTGTCGAAATATTTTAGAAATGTCTAGATTTATTAAAATGGAAGAGGATTTACAGATTATCTAGTAATCTTACAGGTGACTCAAAGGGCCAGACAGATAATATAAATAAACAAACGGGGCCAGGTGGGATTGCCATTACAGGAAGAGCAGGAGTCTAGTTAAAAGACTTCTGACTTTCAATTGGTTCAGGTAGAATTTTCTTCTCTCCTTTTTTACCACCCACTTTCCTCCCTACAAACACTCCTTCTCCTAAGTCATCAAATGGCAAGAACTGCTCTGGGAAAGGTGGATTCGGAGAACCAGGAAGGTTGGTGGGGCAAAAAATAAACTACCTTGTTCTCAACTTCACTCCTCCCAATGATCATTATTTTTATAGAAATTATATTTTTTTAAAATATGTTTTTATTGATTTTAGAGAGAGAGGAAAGGAGTGGGGGAGAGAGACATGTCCCCCTACCTGGGATGGAGCCCCAGCAACCTTCTGGTGCTGGGGTGATACCCATCCAACTGGGTCACACTGGCCAGGCCTCTCCCAAATATTTTACTTTATTTTTATTTTTTATTTCTATTGATTTTAGAGAGGAAGGAAGAGGAAGAGAGAGAGAAACATCAATAATAAGAGAGATCATTGATCGGCTGCCTCCTGCACACCCCCTACTGGGGATGGAGTCCACAACTCAGGCATGTGCCCTGGACTGGAATCAAACCCAGGCCCCTTCAGTCCGCAGGCTGATGCTCTATCCACTGACCCAAACTAGTTAGGGCTCTTGCAGTTATTTAAAAAAAACAAACCTGTTGATTGTTTTTCAGCTTTTTGGCTCAGATCAAGTGTAGTTTATGTTCTTATCAGTTTAACATCTGGTGTGTCCTCTAGCTGAGGACATTTCGTTAAGTGGATTTTTGAGGGAGATGAAATAGGACCTTGCTCTGTCTATGCCACGCATCAACCTGGTATTTTAGTACTTCCGGGAACAGTGAACCAGAGAAAAAAACAACCAGCAAACAATCTGTGAAAAATATTGAAAAATGTGAGACCACAACATGAACCTTGACCCAAGGCTATGGTAGAGATGAGGTCACTGTTCCTAAAAGAATTTTCTAGGCCAGTAAGAGAACTTCCTTTTCTAAGTTTGAGTCTTGTAAGTCTCTTGGATTTCACCAGAAAAAAGGTAGGGGCTAACCGTCTTCAGCTGCTAACGAAGAGAAAAGAGGTCTGTCAGTCATATCTACTTCCCTTGTTATTTGTGAATGTGAGCAGAATGGGAGTCTCTGAAGCCAGATTTTTCAAGAGAATTCAGATTTCTTTCAAGAGAAGAAGGAAATATGGAGTTTTACGAGAAACCTCCCAATTTTATAAGGTTGCCAATGAATGAGAATATTGAAAATGCCGTGAGGGCCAATCTAAGCTCATCTGAGAGCTAAATTTGCATCATTGTTCAGTAGCTTAACCTCCAACCTAATCTAATCCTCTAATTTTATGACAGACTCAGAGAAGTTAATGACTTGCTCACGTTAGCACATAATTCATATTCTTTCCATTCAGTCATAAAATAGCTGGGGGAAAAATGGAGTAAATGTCTGATAATGAGTGAGGCAACCATTGTCAAGTTTACAGTTAGGCTTGAAGTGAGCCATACTACTTGGCAGTGTTGGAGCTGAGACAATTCAAAAGAGAGTGATTTAGCCCTGGCCAATGTGGCTCAGTTGGTTGAACATTGTCTCATGAACCAAAGATTGTCAGTTGGATTCCCTGTTGGGTTCCTGGTGAAGACACATGCCTGGGTTTCAGGCTTGATCCAAGGTGGGGAGCATGCAAGAGACAGCCAACCGAAATTTTGTTCTCTCCCCCCTCTCTAAAAGTCAATAAATTTTTTTTTTAAAAAGTGTGTGATTTATACTAATAATGAATAGTTAACACCTAATCTAAAGAATGGGACTAGTGAGAAAACATAGATGCACTACCCCAGCTGCCATCAGTTACAAATAGGCATCATGATGATCTGTAAAATGTGGGTAACTGGGGGCACAACAGTGTTTTACATATATTTTTTATTGATTTCAGAGAGGAAAGGAAAAGGAGAGAGAGAAACATGAATGACGAGAGAGAATCATTGATCAGCTGTCTCCTACACACCCCTACTGGGGATCAAGCCTGCAACCCAGACTGGGAATCAAACCATGACTTCCTGATTCATAGGTTGACACTCAACCACCAAGCCATGCCAGTTGGGTACACAGCAGTGTTTTAGAAAATAGCTTCAGAATAACATCTGAAGAAAGTCTGGGCAAGCCAGACATTCTATTATTCCATAA